GGTTGACTCAGCCTTCCATCCTTCCGAGGTGGGTGAAATGAGGACCCAGACTGTGGGGGCGATATGCTGACTCTGAAAACCGCTTAGAGAGGGCTGAAAGCCCTATGAAGCGGTATATAAGTCTCACTGCTATTGCTATTGCTAATTACATAATAGTGGAGGATGCATGAGTTAAAACAAGGTTAGGTTATTTGCTTTTTCAATGGTCTTTTTGAAAATGAAATGGAAATGAAATTCATTCATAATACTGGAAAGAAGCCCAGTGCTTGAGAGTAGGTTGGGGTCCCCTCAGCTGTCAGCCAAGGGCACCCTGAATGCACTCAGATACATTCTTTCATGCACATTCTCAAAGCACCTAGAAGCCGTCTCTTCCTTAATTGGTGCCACAGATAATTATTGCCTTGTGTTCTAACTCACTGCTTTTCCTTTGATCAGCTTAAAAGTCTGCGAAGAATGAATGCAGGACTTTCATTCTTCATTAAGAGAGTGTCTTCTCCTCATGTAAAAATAAAATGAAAAACAGCCCAGCCAGGAAGGAAGGAAGGGGCTGTGCCTGTCTACTTACCAAGCATCTTCTTTTGGTCCACAACACCTCCAACCGAAAGCCACTGGTCTCCCTCTTGTTTGGGAAAGGCAGAAGCACAATAACATTGACTCAATGGAGAGATGCCACTTCAAAGCTGCCACCTTTTCCTTGGGGGGGTGGGGGAGGCTGGGAGCAATTACTCACAGCTTCTGTTTGAATGAAGGAAGGGACTATTGGAAGGAGAGGGTGTATCTTCTCTTTCTCAGACTTAATTTGACTCATGGGAAATATGGACTGGGGGGACTAGTTCTCCATCCTGACCCATCCAAATCTAAGAGAGAAATAGCTACCTCAAAGCAGCCCGGATCTTGGGAAAAACCAGATCAAAGAAATGCAGTTGTATCAAGGCACAATGTGGCTATTTGGATGGAACCTTTTGCAAACCAGGCCATATGTCTATAGGCAAGAAGATGTTTATGTATGCATGCATATGTGCCTGCTGAAGCTTCTCTTAATTCCTCCCCCTTAGCCATTGGCAAATGACTGTAATTATATGTTTCTATGGGGGGGGGGAGGGAACCAACACAAAAAAAATGGCGTCAAATAATTTAAAGCAGTTCAAGTAGAAGGCCTGTCAATTCTTTAAGTAAATGATCCTGTGTTTATTCAGATGTTTCTCCCCATAATTGTTGTCTGGAGGGAAAAGCTCACAGGCTAAACCCAGTCAGTCTCCCAGGCTTAGGAGGAGACGTTGATTTGGGATTGATTTATTGAAACAGAGTGAAAGCAAAGAAGTGGGGTGGGGGGGATGGGGCATCTTTTTAAAAAAATTCCGCTAGGCTTAGGCAGTGCATGGGGCTTTTGCCAAAATGAAAAGGGAGGGAGGACAGAGAGGGGAGCAAGGGATCTTCACTTCTGTGGAGTTGGCTTCAAACGGATCTGTCCCTGATTCATTGTTTGAACAGGTTGAAAGTCTGATAATGAGGTTTTGATGAATCCTGAACAAATAGCCTTCCTCCAAACCTGATTATCCTGTGCTGGTGTGGGGGAGGGGATTGGGAGACAAAAATTGGAGAAAGCTGATGCAGAGCCGTTGAGTGTCTGTTTCTCTCCATCTTCCAAATATGTTACATATCTCATTTTTTTAAAAACAACAACAACACAGAACTGAAATCTTCCAGCCAGAGTCTGGCATAGATGACAAACATTTTTAAAAGCTAAGAACATGCTAGGCACCAGAATTGAGCTTTCAGACTTTTACCCCAAACCTATTTATAGTTTCCTAAGTTTTCAGAATTTTAGTAGTATGTTATTTTTGTTGTTTGCGGGCGGGTGGCTTGGCTGCTTCTGTGGGTCTACGACAACTTGCCACAGCCAACGTATCACAAACAACTCACCAAGGGTCAACTCCCCAAGGCCAACATGCTACAGGCCAACTTGACGCAGGGCAAGAGTTACACTAATATTAAAGAAGTAGTGGAATAGAATAATTCAAGAAAATAATTTTAAAAATAATTTTAAATAATCAAATGGATTTGTTAATTGTCCCTTAGCCTCCCATGGTGAGTTGGCCATGGTGAATTATCTGGTGTCAAGTTGGCTGTGGTGAGCTGGCTATGACAAATTGGCCATGGTGAGTTGACCAGGATGAGTTGTCCATGGCAAGTTGTCCCATTCAATGCTTCTGTGTCCAACGGTTGGAATCCTGAGAGCCTTTCTGATTTAATGGAAATCATGAGGGAACTAAATTATTTCCAATCTATTTTTTTGTCTGAACTTTTGCATACGTTTAGTCAAAAGGTCAGGAGTTTATGGCAGAGTGGGAGAGGAGCAAGGAGCCACGCAGAAGACTATATCATTAACTTCCTAGGCATCAATTATACTTCCATAAGAACAACTCATCATTGATACTGTGTGTTGCAATCTAGATTCTGTTGAAATGAGATGATTCTGAGGGGAAAAAATGTGGACATTTATTACAGTATCCTCCCCAAAGCTAGCCAGAAACAAAATCTTTCTTGCTCCTCCACTATTAATTGTCCTGTGAATTCATGCCTGAGTTTACACAGGGAACGTGATTGACTGGCTGATGAGGTTTTACACAAAGGCCACATTTCTCTCCTCTGGTGGGGTAAATCACAAACAAACAAAAAGAACTCACCACAGATTCTCTTTCTTTATTTCAGATGATTTACTTGCTGCTTAAAAGAAGAGCTAGAATGGAGTTCAAGGCCTCTGACTGGTGGGTTTTGAAGACAGCATTGCCAAAAAAGCTCCTATCATAAAATGTTTGTAAACATTTTTGTAGAGCAGGTTGAAAGAGGGAGCAAGATTTCAAAGACAGCCCTGAAGCCTAGTTTCTGTTCAGTGATAATAGACAGAAGCAGAAATCTTGTATTTCAAGTTCCTTTCAGTATATTTCAGATATTATTATTTTTAGATGTGTCATGATTTAAGAAGTATTATAAATGTCAGTGGCAGAAAACATCCAGAAATCCTTAAGGGAGGCTCAAACTACTTGTGTGAATAAGTATTAGAGAGCCGAGGTGGCGGAGTGGTTAGGGTGCAGTACTGCAGGCCACTTCAGCTGACTGTTATCTGCAGTTCAGTGGTTCTAATCTCACCCGCTCAAGGTTGACTCAGCCTTCCATCCTTCCGAGGTGGGTGAAATGAGGACCCAGACTCTGGGGGCAATATGCTGACTCTGTAAACCGCTTAGAGAGGGCTGAAAGCCCTATGAAGCGGTATATAAGTCTAACTGCTATTGCTATTGCTATTGGTGCCAGTCTTTCATTTATATAAGCCATGTGTATTTATTCCATTCCATCCACTTGATATACCGAATTATGTTGTTGGTAAAACTTCATGCCACTTTCAGCATCATTTTGAGTTCTGTTCTTATGAATGTAGAATTCTGCTTCACACGGGATCTCTTTCTTCCCTACCTTTTCAAAGTGCATCTTTGATTGCATCAAGAGAAGTCAAACATGTAGACTGCAGTGAGCACTACTGAATTTCAACCCTAATCTGTCCAACACCCCCCCCCAAAAAAACAATGTGATTTTTATGCTTGGCTGTTTTTTTCTGTGTAAGGGAGTAGATTGGAGGGAAATTTGTAGGAAAATTGGATGAAGAAACCAAGACAATCGCCCATCAAGGAACAAAAAGTAATTCCGAAAAATGTAGGAAATGTCACCAGATACCTGGCTCATACTACCACATGTGATGGACTTGCACTGAAGCTAAAAGATACTGGACTAAAATCCACATGTGGTTGGAGAAAATGACACACAAACAAATAGACTTTAAACCAGAGGTCTTTTTATTGGGGATCATACCAGAAACCTACAACAAAGACTTAAAATATCTGATTGTAAATGTGTTAACAGCAGCCAGAATTGTATTTGCAAAAAACTGGAAAAACGAAACAATACCAAAACAGGAAGAAGTTATCCGAAAAATAATGGACTGTGCTGAAATGAGTAAATTGACATTTGAAATTAGAGAGCAAGAGGATGAACAAATTTATAAGATATGGGATTTGTTTTATCAGTGGCTAGGGGGAAAAAAAACTTTGGAAATGAAAAATGATATACATGCCTTAATTGAAGAAAGTAAATGATGATATAATTATGCTGTGAAATAATCTAATAATGACACAATGAAGTATTAATATAAGGTCTGGGGATATAATGTATAAGGTTAAGAACTTATTATAATGATATTTCGCTGCTGATAAGCAATTCTAATAGGGGAACAAATGAAAACTGGTATATATAGGCAGCGATGCTTTGTTGAAAAATGAAGGAATAAGATCTTTGTTTGAAGGTATGAAATGCAAGGTTAACAATAACTAGAAGTATACTTTCTGGGGGAAAATAATGCTAATGTTAACTGAATATATATTGTAGAATGAAAATGAGGCCTTTAGTTATATTAGATGAAATAATTGAGACGGTAAATATTATTTGAAGATGCAGATGTTAAAACACTTGTAACCAAACGACATGCTGTATGTGATGATGGTTTTTTTTGTCTTTTTTGTCTCCCCCCCTTTTTTAAAAACCCTAGGTTATTGTGGTGTCTATTAAATATACAACAGAGGGATGTGTATACGTAGTAGGGATGCACCTGTGATCAAATGACGTATTGTATGTGATGATGGGGTTTTTTTCCCTTTTTTTCTCTCTCTCCTTTTCCCTCTGTTTTTTTCCCCCTATTGTTATGTGATGTTGTCTATGTAATAAAAAAATAAAATTATTAAAAAAAAAAGAACAAAAAGTAATTCCAATGCTCAGAACAGCCTGGTATAAGAGAAACAAGGGGACTTGGATTGGCCAGAATTTGGTTTTGAAACAAACACAATTTGTTTCAACCTTGAAAAAAAAAGTTTCAGAACATTAGATTTTGTTTCGAGTACAGAACACTTGGAAGTTTGTTTCAAGCATAGACCCTTTTGTGCACCCTTGTGTAAAACTTTTTATAATTATCTGCTCTTAATGCTGTAATAACCCAATCCTAATTTTCTCCTTTGAAAGCTTATACATGACTAAAAGAGGGGAAAAAATGACCCCATCTTATGACTTTCCCATTAGAGTGTATTTGTTGAGTATTATAGTTCTTACATCTTCCTGTCCCAAGAGTCATTTGTCACTTATGAAGGGAGTGATTCTCAGCAGGTTTCTTTGAATTAAAGACAAAATGTACGAGCAAATTGCACATATGGCTTTCATTGTTTCCATATTTGTTGAAGAATAACTCTATTGTGCTTATTAGGATGGAAAAGGAGCACTTGAGTTGAAACCAGAAGTATAGGTCAGAATTGTATCCCCATCTCCTAGAAAATAAATGATAAATCATAAGGCTAAGGGCAGAGGGAGGGTTCCAAAACCACGAAAGGAAAGGAAAATAGACACTTGAGAACAAGATATTAGGAATTTTTAGATAGAACTGGGAAAGCAATATCTGTCCCTTGGCATGGTGCTAATCCACATGGAACAGTAAATGATTAGCAGTGGCCTATTATTATGGTGAACTAGATTTTTTCTCTTATTTAAAACTTATTTTATTTATCTACTTTAAAAAAAACCAAAACCCTGGTTTCCAAATAGGTTTGTGGCAGTATATAGACACCCTACACAACGATAACAAAGGTTACCTCTTGACCTTGAATGTTTACATTCTTTTGTCTTGAGGAAAACAGGGGGAAAAAACCACCTGAGAAAATCCTAAAATCCATTTGAAGTAGAGTGGTTCCCAAACTTGGCAACTTTAAGACTTGTGGACTTCAACTCCCAGAATTCTCCAGCAGAGTTGCCAAGTTTGGGAACCACTGTATAAGACAGACAGAAGAAAGGGTGAGAGGGAAAGAGAAAACGAGAGAGAGAATAAATTAAGCCCCCCAGTCAATTTGCCAGTAAGAAGATGCAGAGTTTTAGTTTTACCAAAAACACCATTTGGACCTGAGGCAAAACATGGATTCTAAAGTAACTTGAACCAGAGCAATTTCTTCCTGAAATGCCAGTGTACCTTTGGTCTCGAGTACAAACTCTTTTATTAAAAATGAAACTTGACCTTCTTCCCCAAATGGCACCTTCCATAATTCTGTCACATGACAGGGAACCATAAATTCCATGTATCTCTGATTGAGGTACAAAGGAACCGTTTAAAGATCTTGCAAAAGGATAATGAAGTACATGCCTAATAATTAGCTGAACTTGGAAGCATTTTCTGTCTGATTCATTGGTTTCTTAGACTTGGGCTATCCTTTCCTGAGGGCATTCAAGGTTTTCTCTGCAGCCAGTGAGGCTAGAGACTTTCACTGATATAATTAAAAGGTTTTTGTGAGATTGTCAAATGCTCAACCATACGAGCTACTTTTCTGCTTTCCATACTGCATATCTTAAATGCATACCAGGCAGCCATCTGGCTTCAGACTTCTAGAATCGTTATATAGCATCAGTTTTATCTGCTTTATACAGACATCTCCTGTTTTAGGGGATGGAACTCTACCAAGTTGCTATCTATATAGCATTATTGACATGATTTGGAGAATAACATTATTTTAAATCACGTGTACATGTTGGGAAGGAACCGATAGGCCTGTTAAAAATCTGTTCAGGTTTGAATCTGGTTTTCCCCCAAGAGACAATGAAATATTTTCTATTCTTTATCTAGAGGCATGAGAACATAAAATCATCTCTTGTCTCTTTGTAAATGTTTGCATCTCTTTATGGTTACGGTAGATACCAAAGAGGAAGCTCTTCCAGATTCCTTTGTAGAAGAGGTTCCCTGCAGCTATTGAATGTTTTGGTTTTTGTCCATTGTCATGGATGAAGACCTTAACCCGAATCAGTCATGTTCAAACTAAATGTGATGTGTCTGAAGATGACAGTCAGGCCAATTTGGGAATGGAATGTCCTAGCACACATCGGGCAAACATGTGTAGACCTGACGATTATTGCACTGATGCCTTTAGACTTTCACAGCTCATGTTTGCTTATTTATTTGTTTATTTATTATATTTATATGCTGCCCACCTCACTATCCAAAGCAACCGAAGGCGACTTATCCGTGTAAAATGTGTTTTTATTTTCCATTTTTCATTTTCATACAGTCACATATATACTGTGCATAACCGGGGCCATACAACATTAAACAATAAACACAGCAATTCTTCTTGTCAACAGTACCCCCCAAAAATAGAAACCCAATGTACCTCTTAGACCCTCCATACACCTCTTTCTTTCTCCCCCCTCCAACTTTCCATCTTCCCTCCATCATTCCCCTCTACCCTACTTCCCCTCCCCCTCTACCACTCGGAATTGACTACATATTTAATGTTCCAGTAATCCGGCTCCAAATATGTGAGAAATTGTAATTTATTGGCAATTGGCTACTTGATTTTAGATGTTTGAAATCCATCAATTTAGCAATTAGCAATTTAATGGGTTTATATGCCGCCCAATCCCGGGGGGGGGGGACGGGGGACTCAGGGCGGCTTACAAGTACGAATAAAATAAAACAACATAGGGGAAGAACGTAAAACAATACGACATACATTTTTAAAACACAGCATACATTCGGGTTAATTGGGGGTTGACCTGATTTGAGTCAGCAGCCTGCCGGAACAGCCAGATTTTGGTGGCTTTTTGGAAGGCTTCAAATTGGTGATGATGTTCTCTAAAAGATTTTCAAAAGGAAGTGCAACAAATAGTTGATTTTGAACAAATTTTATATTTTGGAATGCTACTGAAGTTATC